CAGGGAGCCCGATGCGGGACTCGATCCCGGGACTCCAGGATCATGACCTGAGCCGAAGGCAGTCGCTTAACCAACTGAGCCACCCAGGCGCCCCTTTAATAAGATTTTTATTCACACTAATAATAGCCATTAAACAGTCCCACTTAATAACTTACTCTGGTATTCAACTAGTATTTCATCAGTTTTTCTAAGATTTTATTTTTAATATCTTTACACACAATGTGGGGCTCAGACTTACAACCCTGAGATGAAGAGTCACATACTTTACCGACTGAGCCAGCCAGGTGCCCCATTATCAGTTTTCATAACATTTAGCCCAAGTTTTCCTGAATTAAGCTGCTTTTAACAATTCTTTCCTGTGTACCATGTATAAAATCTCATATTTTGTATTTTTAATTCTTTATGTTTTTCTTCTCATTCTCCTATACAGAGGGCAGGTGACTTGGCTTTTAGTTTCCCATGTTGATTTTTGCCAGTACATGTTCATAAATCAGTTATATTCCAACAGGAAAAGATGATAAAGCACGTACCAAAGACAAGAGGAATGTAAAGAAGGCTGCGGTGACAAAACCAAACAATATCAAGTCAATGTTCATTGCTAGTGCTGGGAAGAAGACTGCAGATGTGAGTTTTGTGGTTTTCTGATATTTTGTCTTTTCCTTTGAGAAGTAAATTTAGTATTTGTATAGACAATAGGTGCTCAATGTATTTGAGCTCAGCTATTTCAGTTGTGTTTTCCTGATTTCAGTCACAAAGGTGGATGTAGATTTCCAGGTGAATTTAGGTACCTCATTGTTTGGAACTTGGAGATAGAAAAGTGAATGAAAAGCTTCAGGGACAGTGTGTTTGTTTCATTGATTAGCAGGAGGATCATGGAATGAGGGTGAAAACAGGATGGGAGCTCTAGGTTTAGGAGTTAATGTACACAGGTCGTTGTTAAGACCTGTGAACAGTAGATGAGTACTCAGGACTGAAGAGGCAAGGACTGACTGGTTGGGTTCTTCTTTCACAGACATGGGCGGGGTGAAAACGTGAAGTGCAGGGCTTTCTCATTCTCCCTCTCTTTATAATTTCCAGAAAGCTATAGACTTGTCCAAGGATGATCTGCTAGGTGACATTCTACAAGATCTGAACACTGAGGTAAGTCATTCTCTGGGAGTTGTCAAATATGCAGGGGACATGGCTGAAGAAACAATTCGGTAGTTTTACAAAACAGACTGTTGATAGAATTTAAAACAGAAAATTCAACAACAATACCACCACATGCACCCCCCCAAAAAAAAACCCCTACAAAAAAAAAACCAACCCCCCTGCCCAAACACCTCTCCAAATTGGTTTCTTACTGCTTTAGGTGAGTAGTTTCCAGCTGTTAGAAGCTATGCAATTATGTCGACGGGGCCGCGTGGGGATGTGTTTGAGATAGTAAGAATACACACATGAGTCTGTTCTGGGAATGCGCACTGCTTGTGTTCAGTTGCTGCAGTGTATGTTCCCGAAAGAGATTGAGACCTGTCAGTCTGCACAATCAGGCATGAGATGCTCATCTTGAATTCAGAGAGTAAGTGAAGGAAGAGTCAGGGAGCTGTCGCTGAGAGAACTCAGACAGGCTCAGCTGCTCTGGGAATTTGCAGTTGGGCTATTTCACGTGAAGACTCATTTAGAGGTGTGTTTCTCAGTAACCCTTGATTAGAACAACTGACACCAACACGTGTGGTTCTAGTTTGACAGTTTTTAAATGTAATATCCTGGAAGGGTTGGGGAAAAGTATGTTAAGTTGTAAAAAGAAAAAATTGGTGAGAGGTGGATTTAATATCTATTCTGGTTTTCTTGTGAGTCTTTGGTATTGTTGCTATAGTAACTGCAGTACATGAACATAGATCTACAGGGGGAGCAGGGAAGGAAAAAAATGCTTTGCTTATTGGGCTTCAGTGGGGGAAGAAATGCACTTTTTCTGTCTTGTGGTAAGCCAAGCATGGCAGGCTATGTCTTACTCCTCCTTTTAGAAACCTCAAATAACTCCACCACCTATAATGATACCAAAGAAGAAAAGATCCATTGGAGCTTCACTGAATCCTTTCTCTGTGCACACCTCCAAGGTAAAGTGTTATGGAAATACCTTCAATCTTGATTTATATTATTGCTTAAAACTTACTTTATTGATTTTCTATATGAGGGAAATGCTTTTGAATTTGTTCTTGATTTTTGTTTTAAATTAGGACTCCCATTTCATTATATAGTTTCATGTATTTCAAAAATAGCATGTGCCTGGTTTTTTCATAGTAAATTTTTAGTAACTAGTATGTGTTTATTATAGGTATTACAGCTGTGCTAAATGCAATGATTTTCTTCCTGGAAACAAGTATCTTTTTGTAAACATAGGTAACAGTAAAATAATGGAAGCCGTTACATTAATAATACATAAAATTGTTGTATAAATGGGAACTGTCATTTTCTCTGGTCAGGGTGGGACAGTTACGTATTTTTTGGTATGCAGGTCTAACTGACTGAACATTTAAAAATATTTACAGGCAGTTCCTTCAGGAAAAACTGCTTCCCCTGTCTCAAGGAAGGAGCCTCCGTTAACTTCAGTTCCTCTTAAATGTGCTGAATTTGCTGGTAAGTCTGACGTCAGGCAGACCTACAAGGGTGTTGAGCGGTTGCAAAATGCTGTCAGAAATGGAGGCGCTGTGAAGGAGGAAGTGGAGGTGATTTTGCAGGTATTGTGATGGCAGGTTCAGTCGTGAAAGATTTGAATCCACAGCAGTAAAAGTTAAAAAACATCCAGCTTGGAGATGGAAGAGAAATGCAAACACAGTGTGGGCGAAAGGGTAGGCCGCTGTCGCCATGCTGGGGAGGCCCTTGTGTTCCACAGCAGTGGTACGTGATGGTAATGTGTGATGACGCCTACAGGAGAGCCGCTGCCAGCGTTGTGTATAGATGACAAGGAGGACTCAGGAGCAATGGATTTTGAAGATGGTGACTTTGATGAGCCCATGGAGGCTGAGGAAGTGGATGTGGAGCCTGTGGCTGTCAAGACTTGGCACCAAGAGAGTGAGCCAGCAGAGGGGGTGAAACGTGAGGCAGATCCTGGGAAAGGGACCACGTCCTACTTGTAAGAGCATTTTATGACATTTCTAGCAAGTAGCACTACGAATTACTCAGTTGGATTTTGAAAGGTTTTCAAAATGTAATTTCTACAGGGGAAGTTTTCTCCCAGATGTTTCTTGTTGGGACATTGAACAGGAAGATGACAGCAGTTTCTCAGCCCAGGAAGTCCAAGTGGATTCCAGTCACCTCCCACTGGTCAAAGGGACAGACGAGGAGCAAGTGTTTCAGTTTTATTGGCTGGATGCTTATGAAGATCAGTACAACCAACCAGGTAATCATATGTATGTCTTTAATACAGAATATTGCCTTTCCCTTAAGTGGTTTAGTTATTATAATTGACAAAGGCTCTGTCCTCACGTACGTGTATAGTAAGAGAGCAGCACTCATTCATTGTAAAGTGTGTGAGCAACCCAGCTTGAGAGGAGCTGTGGTATGAATAATCAATCCTTAAAAATGTTTTTTTCTGTAAACCAGTTATATGTGATTTTGGAACGTGTACTTGTAGTTTACCTTCGATGTATCTAAAGTTGTAGTTACACACTTTATTTTAAATGGAATCAGTCATTAATTTGTTTCTTTATCCAGCACATTGAACACCTGTTGTGTGCTAGGCACTGAGATGGCATGAACAAGCTAGACAAATTCCCGATCCTAATGGAGCTTACGTTCTAGTGGGGTGGGGGCGGGGAATGGGCGGTAAATAAGGTAAGTTGATAAATGGTATGAAGGCATTTAGTTGGGGGATGGTTGAGGAAGGCCTGTCTGAGGAGACTACCATTGGGCTGAGATTTGAGGCACATGCTAAGCTGAATAAAGAGCATTTCAGCCTGAGGAACCAGTGAGCAAAGAGGCCTGGAGAGAGAAAGGAGGCCTATGTGGTTGTAGCACAGTAAATCAAGGGACAAGATTGGTAGAAAATGAAGTTGGAGACAAAGGCAAAGGGCAGATAATGAAGGACCTTGAAAGCCATATTGAGGAATTTAGATCTTACTCTAAGAGCAGAGGGGGATGCGGTGGAGGATTTTAAGTGCTGGTGGAGCGAGGGTGGTGGTCATATGGTTGGGTTTACAGTTTAACAAGAGCCTTCCGGTTTGTGTGGAGAATAGTGTGTTTGGGGGAAGAGGGGAGACTGGAATCAGGCTAGTGAGGAAGCCCTGGAGAACAGTCAGTCCAGGGCAGGCATGCTAGTTACTTGGCCTAGTGGTGGCTGTGGAGAAGGAGAGAAGTGGATGTATCTCACGTGTATTTTGACATGAACCTGTCTGTGGATTGATGTGGGGGCTGACAGAAGGAGGAATCAAGGATGATTCCCAGGTCCTCCTCCAAATGAACTGAAAATGTGAATTCTGACTCAAAGCCAGGAGGCTCTCTAGTTTCTTTTTTTTTTTTACTCCTTGAGCCCTTCTTCACCACAGGGCTGGGCATGCCAAAGTATGTCAGATTAATATAAAATACTGTACATATCCTGAAATAGAGTTGCCTTTATTCAGATCCATGTCTGGGTGTGAGGGTAGATGCAACTTTGCATTTTTCAGAGTGGTTTCCTGGAGGTTGCATCCAGTGAAAATAGAGTATCAATAAAGCAAGTGAATGAGTAGGAAGCGTAAGTATTAACCATCAGACTTGAAGGCCAGATTTACCTTAAAGATAATCAGGCATTGACTAACTGGAACGTTGTTACTGTCTCTGCAGAGGGGAGGCAGAAGCAATAATAAGCTTCGGCATATCACATGCATAGGAACACGTGCAGAGCCATTTGAGTAGCAAACTGCCACGCGTTAGTTTCTTAGGTAAAGAATAAGCCATCTTAGAAATGGTATCTACTTTAGCTGCGACAAGATAATTTGGTTAGACCCTCTCACCTCCTTGGTTACCTCTTTGCTACTCACCAGTTGAAGGTAGACTGGTAAGTGGGATTGTGTGAGGCTGAGCAGATGTTTCCCATCCATTGCTGAAACCCTGGCCTGCCCCGTTGTATGGCTTCAGGGGGACACCATTTTCACATGTGCTTCATGTGTTTTAGGCTCCCCGGAGCACAACACTGTGGCGCTTGCTGGAGTTGTGTGATGTGGTGGGCCTGCCCTTCCCAATGCTAATCCCTTTGCTATATTCGCTCGATGCTGGATTTGATTCCCTGTCTTGGTTAATGGTCCCGCCAAAACCAGAAAATTGGGAATAAGCCTTGATTGCCCCATTCCTTCACTTTCCTCACCAAGTCTTGTTAATTTTCCCCTCCTGAAGTAGACAAGCTGTCTTCTCTTTCTACTTGCAGCTTCCACCTCTAATTCCTTCTTGCCTACTGAAACCATTGCACCAGCTTCCTAAGGGATCTCTCAGCTGTCATCCCCTACATTGCTGCCAGAGCGATTGCTCAGAAGGGTAGCACTGATCACATCATTCCCTTGTTTAAAAAAAAAAAAAAGAAAACTCCGTGGCTGCTCCCTACAATGTAAAGTCCAAGTTCCTTAGCAAGTCTTCTGATACCATGTACGACTTTTGTGTTCTAGAGATAGTTGCCTGTATGTACCTGTTGCTCTTTATACCGTGTTCCCTTACTCCTTGTGTTTGGCTCAGCCCAGGTGTGTCATGTCCTGGAAGTTTTCCTAATCCTCCAGACTGGCCTAAGGGCCCTTCCCCTGGTACCCCATCCTACCCTTTCCCATCATACTGTTTGTCATATTACTTTGTAAAGATCTGATTCTGCATTTTTCTTGCCCCAAAGCCTTTTATTTAACTCCTGGGTGGCTGGGACCTTTTATTTTCAGCTTCTGTACAGTACCAAGCACATAGTAGGGATTTAATAAATGTTCATTGAAATAAACTGCGCAGCGACTGACAATCCTGTAGATGCACATGAAAGGTTTCAGAGAGCCAGAGGTGCGTTCACTGCTTTTGCTGAGATTGCCTCTTAAAGCCTTATAGTGGCGTAGGGGAAGAATGGGTCACATAGAGATGAATGGTGCCCTCCTCCCTCGTTAATCCACGTATAAAGCATCAGATTGCCCAATGTCAATTGCCAAGCATTAGAACCTTAAGAAACAACAATCTTCTTTCCTATGTAAAATGAGTTTATTATTTCTACCTTTTGTTTACTGTTTTTTTTTTTTTTAAAGATTTTGTTTAGTCATTTGACAGAGAGAGACACAGCGAGAGAGGGAACACAAGCAGGGAGAGTGGGAAAGGGAGAAGCAGGCTTCCCGCCGAGCAGGGAGCCCGATGCGGGGCTCGATCCCAGGACCCTGGGATCATGACCTGAGCCGAAGGCAGACGCTTAACGACT